GTCCGTTATTACACTCTTAAATCCTACTACTTATTCCTGTGTCTTTTGGGATCTTACAAAGCTTCAAACGACGCGTCGACTATTAAATTAGTCGTCGACGATTTTGATAGTCGACGTAATCGTGACTAGTCGACTAATCGTGGCAGCCCTACTCACTTCTGATGCAAACCAAGTCATTTTATTCGATAAGCAAGTCTGAAATATGACAGAAACTGCTTGTTTCGGAAAAGAGCTTTAAGGGTTACTCCTAGTAGGGTTTCACGGTGTAAGGAGTTAAATAAATGCATTTCACTGACATATGAAGTCAGTTTGGCTGAAAGTGTGCAGACACGTCGGGACAGAATCAGCTGTAATGGGACACGAGGAACCTGCAGGGTCTTGTTCTTGTAATGTTTTTGCCTACTGTACACGTATTACAGATGTTGATGCTGAAGAGCTGACATCTGGATAACAAAAGGGTGGAAATGCAGCTCTCTCTGAGCTCCTTCCTTTTATTTGTCAGTGCAGATGATCACACAAACAGCTGTTGTCTTTAATCGTGTTGATATCAGCCCGTTATTCTACCATGCTGGTGTTAACAGAGGAAAAGTCTTCTGATTATAGAAAGCATGAAAGTAGTTAAGAGAGACACTTGAGTTCAGCCTGCAAACAGATTCAAACAGATTCAATAATCTACAGCTACAGCGGCCAAATCGAGTCAGTCAGGGAAGCAAATGTTTTCTTTTTTAATGAGTGTGTTGATAGTGTAAAACAAAAATGTGGTGTCTGTCTGTGTTTAAAATAATAAATGTTAATTGCATCATTCCAGACCTGAAAGAGCAGGTCAAGTTCCTCCTTTCTTCAGGCGGCTTTGAGGATTTTTCCACACTGAGCCTTCTATTTGACACTGAAGTGACACACTCTTATCGGACCTCCATCCAAACTTAACCTTTTCAACTCATTATTAGACTTTAGAGGCAAAACAGGCTTCGTGCTTCATACTCTGATAGTCCTGCTTTTTCTGAGACATCACCGCCGATCGTTTTGCTCCAATATCCTGCAGCATGTTGGCAGCATCCTCACACATACAGGAAGACAGACCTGTCTCACTCTCTCGCCCTCTCTCTGTCTGTTTGTTACTCTCTCTCTCACTCGCTCACTTTTTGTTCCAGCTGCTGTACAAATCCTGGCTTTCCTTTGCAGACTTATTACCCTGCTCTGCTCTACTCTACATCTCTGCGCCTGGAGACACATGCAAACTTTAAGTGTCATCACACAGCGACACACACACCTCTCCTGGAGTTCCTGCTGAACCAGAGGAGGAGGAAAGAGGCTGGAAGAAATTGGCCTAAAGTCCTGCAGCTGCCTTCGAACTGCTGGTAATGTAGCGCTAATGTCTGTCTGTCCTCAGCTCCTCCCCTCTCTAAGTCTCTGCCTGTCTGTCTGTCCGTCTGTTGTACTTGGGTTTGTAAACAGTTGTTTCATTGCTGGAGAACACTTGGAGATTTGTAGCGTGATAAATTAACTTTTTTCAGGTTGAGCATAAACACTGGTTACAATAATAACTCACTAATTATCAAAGTAATGCAAGAAATTCTCTGTAAATCACTTAATTACTGAGCAAAACAGCTTCCACGACATGGGCTTGATATCCATGTGGATCACAGACGAAAACCTGGTTTACGCCTGTGTCTCTTAGTAACACAGGAAGCAATGAACGACTCCCGTGTTATGCTGGTTGGAATAAACAGATCATGCTGCTCATCGTCTGAAGTTGTGGGCGTGAAGCAAGTCTTTGCTAGTCAGTTTTTCTCCTTGTTGTTTGAGGTTAGTTTGGTCTGTCAAGGCCCCGTTTGCTTGCTCCCACTGTGCTACTACAGATATGCATTTCTCTCTGGTTTAATGTGTTTTCCATTGGGTGATGCCAACTTTGCAGAAGATTTCCTGGAACAAAATTCGTCACACTAAATGCAACACTTAGAGGCTGGTGATTGTGATTAGTCAAAACGATGTGAGATTACATCGCAACAAACACAGCCATTACTGCTGCGTCCACTCGAAGGAAATGAACTGGACAAACCAACATGTGCAGGCACTGTCAGAGCCGCAGACGATAGTTTGTACTACTGTGTAAAAGATGACGTCAAAGTTTAAAATGCCTTAAACCTGCATTATTTCTTATGTCCACCAGGGGGTGACTCCTCTGGTTGCAAAAGACTGCAAGAGCTCCGTAAATAAATACTTTGCTTCATCCTTGTCGGTGCATTTAAATGTCAGAAGCTCGGTGAGCATCTGCTGCTTTTGTGTCAGATATTTATGATGTATACATATTTTATAGAGACTCAATATTTCCAGGAGGCAATGGGAGACATGAGAAACTAAAATAAGGATTTTTCAAGCTTTGCTGACATTTTATATTAAATATGAGGCTTAGAATGGGCTTTTGGTTGGCTGACTAAGCATGAGAGTAAGCTATTTATGACCATTTCATAAACAAATGTCTCTAATGTTTGAGTCAACGAAACCCCAAACAATTAAATTGGTTTGAAAAAACAAACAAAACAAAAAACAAAAAACGGGAAGGATGACGGGAGATTTTCCTTTGGATCTTTGGAAGTCATAAAAATTAGTCTCTGCAGGAAAAAAAACCTTGTAACTGGTCAACATAAAAACACAAATATGTTTGTTTTCAATGAGCTATAAGTGGTGGCAAGTCAGGTTTTGGATGTCAAACAAGCATCGGTTATTTCAGACTAATAATCTTAGTTTGAATAAACATACATTTGTTGGCTATAAGTGGGGTTTTGCAGATCATGTTACTGAGATGTGAAACCAATGTTTAGAGCTGTCTTAAGGAAGTTGCCGGTACAATAAGCAGAAAGTTGTTTGCATAAAATATTTGTAATAAAAAGTCAATACAATTCAACTTCAGTTAGTTTGGGTGATTTCTCCAAATCCAGTGGAATGTTTTCAGAAAGCAAAGAGCAGTGGACCAAAGCTCGAGCTTTAAACACTGCCTGGCTTCCATTAATCCATAAACACACAGACTCCTGGTTATTTTTATCCTCTGCTGCTCATATTGGAAGTCTCTCCATCTGAGCCTGCTCATCCAGAAACTGAACTGCTGAACATTTTCCATCTCTTTCCCCTCCCTCCTGTTTTCTTTCTCCTGTCTCAGCTCACATTGGTCTCTCTCGCTCTTTGTTTCCCATTGAATCCTGGTTTCCTATTGGTGAGGGCTGATGTGAGGTGGGAGGGTCTCGGAACTGAATGTGATCAGACCTCCAGTCCGTGGAGCTGCAGACTAAAGTTTTACTCCATCCTAAAGGAAATGTGAATGATTAAAAGAGGGAGGGCGTATGTAGGGGATCAGAATAGCCTCTAACTGTGACACATGTGTGATTTTCAGTGAAACTTCATGGGAGATGTAGTTTTTAACAGTGGTTAAAATTCATTATCTAATATCGCAAAAATAACAAATGAACTAAGATTTAAAGGCATGTTTTGAAGCTTTAACTTTCCCACCAATTATGTTCCATCATAAGACATAACACATACTTTCACTGTCATGTTCAAGAAACCTGTTGGAGATTATTTGAGCTTTGATGGTGTATTATCCTGCTGGAGCAGCCATCAGAACCTGGGTTATCTGTGGTCAACATGTCCATCCCTTAACATCACATATAAGCTGTTTATCCCCCACACCCTTACAGCACCTCCACCAGCCTGAACCGTTGATATGAGGCAAGATGGATCCATGCTATCAGGCTGTTAACGCCAAATTTTAACGTCCACCTGAATGTTGTAGCAGAAATAAAACTGCTCACCAAAGTTCAGACGGGTAACTATAACTTGTCATCTTAAACAAAAACATTAAGTCAAATGGGAACACAAAGGTCTGCGTGTATGAACCGGTTTCACTTGTACCACAGTTTGCTCCATACAGATTTGTAGTGTTTATGTAGCATTTTTTTAAGTGCATTTTATTTGTCCTTAAAATAGAAACAGAGGAAACTGTTTCCAGCTGATTTTAACAGTACTTTGAATGTGAGCCATATATGGTAAATGTTTTGGTCAGTGTTATTAGTCCTCAAATTGGAGCTGGATTGCAGCAAACTTTTTTCTTTTTTAATTAAATCTAATATCAGCCATGTGGACTGGTCTAAAAACTGTAATAATCAGGCTCAGAAGTGATCTGAGCCCAGAGCTTTATTACAGTTTTTGTGGATAATTTCTGTTTTCTTTTGAATTAAAGGTTTAAGGACATTATGAGGACCTGACACATGATTCAGGCTTTTGGTTGAATATACGAAAAGTTCACCTGGTGTTTATTTTGACCAAAATGGAGGCGCTACATGTGGAAACCTTTCTGCTGAAAACATGTAAAATTAATACACTGAAACAAAACAGACACAGAAATGTACCAAAAACAGATGATGCACACAAGTCTGATTGTAACTACACCAGATGAGGAATTTTCTGGTTTCTCATAACTGAAACGTGCCGAGATCTAAAATTAAAAAGCTCAGAGCAATGACAAATCAGTTCTAAATAAAATAATTCCCTGGCATTTATTGACTGAGTACGGAAAACAAGTTGTCTATCTGGACAGAAATCAGAGGCTCATATGATACAGAAAATTGCTTAAATCTGCTCCATTCAGAGGGGGAATCAGACAGAAAAACAAACTATCAGGTGTGCGAAGGTGTGTTTTAGCCTCAGATCTCTATGCTTTAATAATGACAGGACTGCTGTTTATAGACTAGTCATTACACACATACATGGAACCAGCCATTAGGACCCCAGCCGAGAGCTATATGAGGGACAGAAGCAGTGCTGACAGCTCTTTACTGAGAACTGCTGCAGGTAAAATCCTCTCTCTTTTTGTGTTGTCTATTTTTCTGAAGTTAGAGGTAAACATGAATCTATCTGCTTTACTTCAGTTACTTTACCAGCTGCAGGAAGTAAGAATTTAAATGATCAAGCATTAAAAATATGATTTAAAATAGGAAAAATACTAAAACCAAAAAAATCTTAAAAAAGGGGAGGGGCGCTTTTTTAACTCATATGTAGCTGAAAAGTGGAAAGATAAAAGAAAATGGGTGTAGAGGGAGATGCAGAAGAATATGAAACAAAGGTCTCATGTTGCTCTCAAAACTTGGACATCTTAAACCCTGAAGAATTTACAGTTTTATATTATTTATTTGTCTTCAGTGTATTCCTTTAACTAGGTGGACTGAGTATTAAATCCATTCTCTTTGGGATTAAACTAAGTTTATAACAACATGTATGCAAAACTTTGCAGCTGTTTGTATTTGTGATGTTTTTTTTTAGTAAAAAAAAACAACAACCTTTCTTTGTGTGGAAAAATGTCCTTTTATTTACTTATTTAACACTGTTTATTTTCACGCTGTCATGATAAAAAGCATGTTTATTGATAGTTAGATCTTATTAAAAGGGGAAAAGTACTGTGTAGCAACCTCCTCCTGAACCTAGTCTGTGCTGCTCTATAGGGATGAGGTGGTGGCTGGTGGTGGCCAGTCTGTGGCTGCTGGTGGCCTTGACCATCCCTGATGCTGAGGCCAGAAACCGACCACGAAACCAGAATGGTGAGATTCTTAGAGTGAGGAGGAGGAGGAAGGATGGACAAGGTGAGACTTTTTTTCATTCAGGGTAATTTTTTTTTTCAGTTTAATGCTTAATTGACCAGTACAGAGATTTTTTTTTACCGTAGCAAAAAGATTTGAGGGAGGTAGAGAAAGCCTAGTTTCATTAAAAGCGAAAAGGCACCGACAATAGATAAGGTGGTTTTAGCAACAGTTATAGCAACAGTTACAATTAGAGCTGTTGTGCTGAAAATGTAATGGGTGATCTCAAAGGTTCTGAAGTGATAGTAGAGTTGACAGGAGTGGAGTTTGGTCTTCATGCTCTGAATCATGTACTTGAGCCCTGGATCTTTCTAGAAATTTCTTGGCAGGGGTGCTGGTGAGAAAGATAAAATGTCACATGTAGTGTGTTTGGGCATTAAACTATCTTTAACACGTCAGTGCTGGACTCATGGTGCATCCACTTCTAGGAAATGGACATCATGTGTCTTGTCTCCACTAATCAGGCACACAGAGCATTTCATGTAGTGATAATGTTTCTGAAGTTGGGCTGTTTCCTGCTATGTGCTACAGTCATATTATCCCAAAAACCAGTGAAGGGCAAGGTCTAAGGTTCTTGTGTGAAAACTGCTGTTTGCTGATGCAAAAACCTATTTACCAAAAAAAACCCTCACAAACACAGAAGGGAACATTTAGCTTTCAGTCAGTCTCAAGTAATAAACTCACTGGGAAACAAGTTTAGGTTAAATCACAGTGTCAAAACAACTAAAAACATCCCATGTTCCTAGAAAGATGCACATTAATATGACCAGTGGTTGCAGGTTTTGGCCGGGCTAGAGCGGGGCGAACTAGACCTCTGAAGATCAGACTGGTTCCTGGTCCCAGCATCCCAGTGGTGCCTGTAGAAGGAAATGCTCTTCTCCTACAACCCTATAAGAACATCCAAGAACAGCACGCCACCTACAACGTCATCCCAGGTCAGTGAGACAACTCTGCTAATCCATGTTTATGTGACCAATAATGTAACAGTAACGTAGGGTTACTGTTACATAGATTAGTCGATTCACACATAGGGTGTGGATGGACTAATCAACTTTACTAACAAATATCACAACACAGTGTACAGTGATAAAAAAACCCTTTAAAATTATTCACATTTCCAGTAGGAGATAGATTAGATGCAGCAATTAGAACCAAAGTGGACTTATTAACACAGAAGAAGGAAGTTATTTTTTTAACATATCCAAAAAGATTCACAAACAAATAATAGGTAATAAAATCTTAAGTGATACAGTAAAAAACATCCAGATTTAGAGAAGCTGCATGTATGAGTCCAGTCAAACAACAGTTCAGCTCAGAAGCTCCATCCTGTTCTCATAACGAAGCTGCCGGCTTTTACAGCACCGCAATTTAATGACAAATCATCACATTCCAAAATGAACAGAAGGGAAAAACATCTGTGGGAAAAGAGCTCGTCAGAGAAGTAGCCCTGAAACATCGCACACAGAGATGGGGACAAAGGCTCCAAAGAATAACCTCAAAGCCATGTGGAAAACCTTCAGTTTAACACATTAAAGTCAGCATTATGTAATTAGAAGGGAAGGTAGCGGCAGCAAGCTTTTGTTGGAAGCTACAAGGATTTTTTCAATTCTTTTTTTTGCTGTTGTTTTGGGTGTAAGAACAAGTCTCTGTTTAAGTGACTGTAATGTAACAGCAACAGTCAGACTGCAGTTTACAGTAGCAAGAAGCGGCTCATCAAACCAGTGGACTTTCCACTGAAGACTGGGGAAATGAAAGACCTCTGACCAGAAGTCACAGCATTTTAGTGTAAGTGTTAATTTTGGATGTATTTATATTTTCAAGGTCCCCTTACTTTGCTTCCTTACCTTGCTTTTTCAACAGATTTACTCAGATTGAGGCCCCATTTATAATTCACAAGTGTTCAAAGTATAATTCCAAGTCATGTGACTGTATTAAGTGGTCAAGGGCAGAAAAACTGGAAAGAAGGACTTTGAGTTATGCATTTTTTATATTTTACACAGGGAGCATTTACTTTATCTTAATCTATTTACATTCACCAGGTCGCCGGCGACCTTTTCAAAATTAGGCTAAGGTTAACAGTAATCTGAGAAGACATCGGCTGGTCTGATCATTTATCGTCTGTGTGTAGCAGCAAACGTTTTAAAGTTTGCAGTGTACCTCAGTTCCACCAAAGCGTTCTTATACATCACTGGTCAACAGAACACTGACTAAAAACAGAGTATAACTAACTGTTTACAGAGATTAGGCTGAATCTCTGTAAATTGCAGCAGTCGTTATGGATTTTTGTCTATCTGGCCCAGCAAATTATAAGGGCTATAGCAAAGGAAATCCAACCATCATGAGGGCTTAGGGTGCACCAGACTTATCGCAGCATTCTTCTGAACAGTAGGACTCTCATAAAACTCAGATAAAACCTCAGCACCAGTGTCCGCATAACAATCGAAGTTGTAGAAGCAAGAAACAAAGTGATCATGGAGTTTTTCAAAGCTTTTTCAAGAAACTCATCTTTTCAAACTGCTGCACCATCTCCCTCAGTATAATCAGGAAATCTCTGAGCTTCTGCACTGATATACCAAGTAAAAGTAAAAATGACACCATCATACACTCGTGCCTTCAACCTGGCCAAGCTGAAACAACACTAAAGCGTGGCTCATGTCAGTGGATGTAACATCACTTTTGGATTGCACCGCCTTTTGCAAGGATGACAGCAGTGGGTGTAATGGGGCCTTATGCCGAAATGCAGCAAGCTCCCTCTTCCCAGCATGTCCTGGACTGCCCTGCGGCCTCTTCCCAGTTGGACATGCCGAAAACACCTCACTGAGGAGGTGTGCAGGAAAATGCTTAGTCAGATATTACAACCAGGTGACTCCAAGACCAAAGAAGTGTTTCTGTTATATTTATGTGTCATATATTATAATATTATAAAAACTTGTATTGTTTTTAACTGTTGTCCACTAATTGTGCTACTGGTGATAAAAACAACAAATAGTGCCATATCACAGTGCTTACCAAGCTAACCATGCTATTTAATCAAAAACCTGCAATTTACTGAGCAATGTAGAGAACAGTGACACAGAGACAAAGTTTTAAAGAGAAAAGCTCTAAAGTATGTGTGCTCGAACTGAGATGACAGGGTGACAGTCTCACTGCTCACTGTTAAAAGGACAAAGATATTAGGGAGACCGTATTTAAGAGAAATAACCTGAGCCTCTTAACTACCTGTGTTCCTATAGACGTAACAAAGAGCATACCATTAGAAAGGATAGATGACAGACAGAGCTAACAGACAAAAAAAGAGGCTCTTCCTGCTGTATCATAGTGGTTTACAGTCTTTTATACTGACTCACTGCCAGGCATAGCCTTGTCTTGTCCTCGGTCTCATGTTGAAAGGTGAAGTTAATTCAAAGGGAGGAGTAGAAATGCTTTGTCTGTTTTTTATGGTAAAGTACAGGCTTTAGATTCGACTAGACACACACAGCAATTATTGCAGCAGGCCTGCTGCTGCTGAGGAGCATGAAAAGGGTCCAGGATAAAGTTGTGTCTGGCTCTAAATCTTAAATCACTGCTCAGCTTTGTTCAGTGACTCAATTTGTTGTGGTTCTGTGTTCAGTGAAAATAAGTTCCTTTGTTTGAAAACTAAATTGGTCAATCAGAGGTTTGTTGATGAGATTAGGAATGGGGATGTCAGCTTCTAGCACCAGAGCCAGAAAACAGTCACAACATAAGGTGCTGATTAGATTTTTGCACCTCTACAGGTTACTGCAAGTCAGACAGATGCCCCATTCACTCCCCAAACAATATGGGGCCACCATCCTGTAAAACTAGTGCGGTCAAAAAGTTCCTTGAATCACCCCACCAAAAATGGCTGATGTTTGCTTTAAAGTCAACTTCTTGTGCAGCAGTGCTCCTGGAAGTCTTGTTTTGCACTTTTAAGTCTCTAAATCTCAATGTCAAATTTGCAGAAAACATACACTTCTCTTCCAAACTGACTTAATTTTCACACAGAGGCTCCCCACTGCTGATGACACCTGGATTTACAGCTGTGATCCAGTAGTTTCTCCACAGGTAACAAGTTTTCCTGTAATGTCCCGAGGCATCTAAAGAAGAACATACAGTGGAAACTCCCTGAATTGTGCTACAGTGTGCCAGTAAACAGCACATTATAAAGGCCACTGTTTGGCCTCACCACCTGTCCCACTTGGTTAATGTGAAAGATCAAGTAGGGGTTTAGACAAACACAGGAATATAATCTTGAAGGGCAAGTCATCCAACTTTAAATCAGCAACATTTTAGATTTTCATGAGTAACTTCCTTGAATTTTCTGGTGGCACTTTTTACTAGAACGGCTCTCTTATTTAGCAAACAAAACTACAACAGGGCAGAGGCTGGGAAACTCTTTCAATATGAAGTAAAATAGTGTAATCTCTAAGCAGCACTCCATGATCCAAAGTGTTTCTGTTATTAAGACATGATTCACAGTGAAAATGTTTGGTATCTGAATGAAAAGAAACCACATTTGGTGCTTCTTCTCATTTACCACTATGTAACAAAGTGTCACCCACTGCTTGTTTGATTGTGTTGAGTGACTGCTTGCAGGATTTGTAATTATGTCCAGTTGTTTCAATGCTAATTATACTTTCAGCATCTGCACAGTTGTTGTGCAGAAAACCAGAAATTTTACCATGTACCCACGATGGTGAGGCTGCAGATGTTTCATAGAGTGTTTTATGACTGTGTGTGCTCACTGCAGATGTCAAACGCCAATATACTACAGTAGCAGTCATGTTCTTGCCCATAGTGTGTGTCCTTATGGGTACACTGCCAGGTCTTAATGTGTCTCAGACATTATTTGCTAATGTTAAATGTACTAATGCTTCTAGATAATATAAACATTTCATAGTTTGATTTCAATTAATTACTCCTGACATTACTGTCTCTGTGTTGTTTCAGGTAAGCAGGGCCAGTGTGTGTACCAGGGTCTGACCATGTTTGACCAGGCCGTCTGGTCCCCAAAGCCCTGTGTGACTTGTCTGTGTACCGGAGGGCGGGTGGTTTGTGATGAGAGCACCTGTCCCGAAATACACTGTCATTTCCCCTTCACCCCTGCGGGCGAGTGCTGCCCTGTCTGCATGGAGCCAGGTAGAAACACAACATGTGACACAGCCATGGTACAACATTCAGAGGCAACAGATATTAACACCAAAGTCCCCTCAAAACCTAAAAGGGACCTACTAGAGTAACTCAATCAATCAATAATCCACATTTCAAGATGTTCTATCAAGTTCTATCTGCTACTATCTTATGAGTCAGTAGACGTCTTTCTTTCTTAAAATGAAACTCGTGTAAATTGTTCATTACATCAGTTCTGAACGGAATCGAAACATTTCCTTGATGCTGAATAATTTCTGAGGCCTCAGCATGTTGCTTCCTGTTTCATCATGGCTTTAAAAATGTGGTATGCACATTTTGGATGCGTGAACACTCATGTTGTGAGAGTTTTAGCATGTCTGTATGTTGGGACATAACATCTGTTGTTCAACATGTCTGGGATTAATTTTGCTTTACTGTCAATTCAGATCATCAGAACAAAGACGAATGAATGTGGGACTAATATGAGGTTTAAAGATGAGATGCTGAGTCACATTACTGGGAGATCTGTGGAGATGCTGGAGCAGAAAACAAATTGTAAAAAAATATTTGTGGGAAAGACTCAGCCAGCAGGCCTGTAGTAAAAACCTTTGGCAATGAGAACATAATTGTTAAATGTAAATATATTTTTACACTGTAATTTTTTGAGTTGCTAATGTTGGAGCAAATAATTTTCTACCTCTGCATGCATGTGCATCCTTTGTTGTAAATGGGAAACTTGTCTTTAAAACCTTCTAAGAATTATGGGGAAAAATAGCTGAACTTACACTATTTTTTCGTTGCTCATATTTTTGCATGCCACATTGAGTGCATATGTACAGAAATACAGCAGAAGAAAACCTCTTTTCTATGACTTGACGGTCATAGAAAAGGTGTGTTTCTCTACCTGTACACGTGCACCTTCTGTTGTATGTATAAAGTTTACTGGGAAGGAAGCTGTTTTATAGCCAGAACAAAAGTCCAATTATAGTTATTCCCAAACTCACTGAAAAACCTCAGATGTAAGTTTGTCTCTTTGATTTTATATTTACTAAATGATCTTGTTAACACAAACTTTTTGACTATAAAACAGCACAAGTGTTGGACAAGTGAGCTAAAGTTGGTCTAAATCAGGAACAGTATTTTGCTGCATGATGTTTTTGATTCTTATAAGATGACAAACTGTATGTTTTATAAAATGTATTCATTGCTTCTACTTCTACAAGACATTTTATAGATTTGAACAGAAAATTTACAGAAACCAACTAACCAACTATAAACTTAGGAGATGCCTAATCAGAAGCATTTAGGCAGTCTGAGCTAATTTGATTCCCCACAAATGTTTGAAATTGAATACAAAATTGGACTCAAAAGATAAATAACAGCCACAAACACTGTCAACAAGGCCAACATCAGGTGGTACGGATATTTTGATGAGGAACTGATCCATTGTTAAATATAACCAACCAATTCTTAGGCCAAATTTGATTAGCCTTTTACAAAATGAAACTGTCTTGTAACTTCTCTCATTTTCATGACTTAACAAAAACATGAGACACACAAACATTCTCATATGGATGTATGTTTATGAAAACAAGTCTATAATTCATATTCAGATTTAGGACCAGAATGCACCAGTAGCTGCAAACACCACAACAACTGACTTTATCTGACTGTGATCATATGTCTTAGTGGTCTTAGTGGGATTTGGTCCAGACTGGTCTACAGCAGCAGTCTGCTCTGTAGCTTTAACAAGCTGGTCTGAAAGAATGTAGATGGCTGTTTGTTCACAGCACTAACACACAACCGTCTGTTTGTCCATCTGCTGTCTGTCTGTCCACCTATCACCATGCCTGTCTGTCCCCACCAACCTCAATCTCCATCCTGTTTCCTCTCTTTTATTGCAGTTTCTTTATTTTTCCGCTCTACTTCTTCATCTTTCTCTCTGTCTGTATCTCCAACTTTTTTTTCTTCACTCCTCTTTTCCTTCCTGTCCCCTTTCCTCCTACCCCTTGATGGGGTGTCCCTCACCACCATAACCCCCCCCAGAACCTGACCTCAGCCTTGACATTTCTGGTGACTCCCCAGTTCCCAATGACCCCAGTGATGTCGTGACTCCACTGACCCAAGAGGAGATCCAGAAAATCCTCTGGAGGGAGGCAGAGCAGCATCGTGAGGAGGAAGAACGCGTGAAGAAGAAGGAGGAAGCGAGAAGAAAGAGAAGGAAGCAAAGGAAAGAGCAGGAGGAGAAACAGAGAAAGATAGCTGAGGAGATGAGAAAGCAGGAGGAGGAGGCACTGAGGCTGCAGGAAGAAAAGGAACTGGAGGAGTGGAGCAGGCAGGTAGATGAGGAGCAAAAGAGGAGGCAGGAGGAAGAGGAAGATAGGAGACAGAAGGAGGAAGCAGAGAGAGAAGCAAGAGAGAGGGAAAGGAAGCTAGAGGAGGAAAGGAAAAAGCAGGAGGAGATGCTGAGGGAAGAACTTTTGGATTTAGTTGAAAAGGAGAAAGAGCAGCACGAGGAAGAGAACGAGAGGCGCGAGAAAGAGAACGAGAGGTACGAGGAAGAGATCGAGAGGTACGAGGAAGAGAACGAGAGGTACGAGGAAGAGAACGAGAGGCGCGAGGAAGAGAACGAGAGGCGCGAGAAAGAGAACGAGAGGTACGAGGAAGAGATCGAGAGGCACGAGGAAGAGATCGAGAGGTACGAGGAAGAGATCGAGAGGCGCGAGGAAGAGATCGAGAGGCGCGAGGAAGAGATCGAGAGGCGCGAGGAAGAGAAAGAGAGGCGCGAGGAAGAGAAAGAGAGGTACGAGGAAGAGAAAGAGAGGCGCGAGGAAGAGAAAGAGAGGCGCGAGGAAGAGAAAGAGAGGTACGAGGAAGAGAACGAGAGGCACGAGGAAGAGAACGAGAGGCGCGAGGAAGAAAAGGAGGAGCAGGAGGAGGAGGTGTGGCTGAGAGGAGATGTGTTTCAAATGCTTCCAAAAGAGCCTGAAGAACCTGAGGAACCAGACCTCCTTCCTGCTCCGATTCCAAGACCTCCAGTTGCTACAGAGGAGGAACAGGTAGAAACCAAAGAGACGGAAGAAGGGGAGGATAGGGAGATCATAGTTGTAAACAGAGGAGGCCTTCCTCCAGGCTGTGACATCTCTGACGTTACTGCCACATGTGAGGATGCCAAACTCACACACTTCCCTCCTCTGGCCATTCCTGAGCTGAAATCCCTCAGTCTGGAGGGTAAGTCAACACCGGAGACACAGAGTCATTAAAGAAAACAAACCCTCAAAACAATCTGAGGATTTCAGAAGGATGTATATTATCAGTAGAGTTATACAAATACAAGTGAAACACTTAAAAAGGAAGCTTCAATATTATGTCAACCCACAACTCAGATGAAGCTTCTTAGCCTTTTTTTAAATTTTTTTAACAGTAAGAGAAATATAAAACTGATAATACTCGCATTAGGCTAATGATTGCAGAGGATTTGTACTGTTGCAGTTGAATGCAGTGTTTAATCATTGACCTTGCATATTGGACAACGAGCAACCTGTAGGCTAATTTAAATATTCATGAACTTTTTTTAAGGTGAACTTTTTTGAATGTTCATAATATTTTCATTGTAACAGGTTACTGTATTTTGATTCAGTTACCCAGTGTGCTTCCCTTTGCTTACTTTATCATAGTCAGTGTCGGCCCAACCCAGACTTAAAGCATAAAGTTGTCATCGTGTATATGTTGTCTTAGCCTTGTGACATGAACACTGCTGGACAACAATCGCGTACAATCTTTTTACAGTCAAAACAGCAGCATCTTTTACCAAACAAACAACTAATGTGCTGCAAGGTTTGGAAAAAGCAGACTTGCATTATTAACATCGATCATCTAAAGCTGCTAAAAATCTGAAGTTTAACAAGAGAAAGGCATTACAACTGCCACCTACAAGTGAGAAGCTGGAAAAAACTTTTAGTTTGCCAAATTAGTATCACTTACCAGCCTGAGGAAGGGATTTAGAAACTAAGACTCCAATTAAGAAAGCACACAGAAACAAACTACAATTGGAGAAATCCTGTTGTCAATATTAACTGAACTTGCTCTGACCTGCAGGCAACAGCATCAGCCGCATCCCAGCAGATGCCTTTAATGGAATTCCTAACCTGGAGTGGATCAACCTGAAGAAAAACAAACTTACTTCTGCTGGCATTGACGCTAAAGCCTTCAAAGTAAGTCATAATAAAACTGAAAACAACTGAAGCCCAAGCTTTTTAAAAAAAAATCATCTGCCAGAAATATAACAATGGTTCAAGTAATAAAGTTTAAAGGTGGGTGTGCAAAGACATATGGCCATCTTCAGTGTAATATCATCAACTCCATGGAGAAAGAAAGGTGTAACATAATAACAAAATCTTTAAGACTTGGTAAGATTTTTAGCAATTTTTTTTTTATGAGAAGGAAAGTGAATGTCCTACTAAACCTAAAAACATCTGTAAAATATGTAAATACCAAAGAGGTGGAAAGGAAGAAGGAGGTCTGCGTATCTGCTTAGACTACTGCGCCTGAAATTTAGACGAGGAGAAGCAGCAGGAAAAAAAACCAAACAGACCAATGGAAAATATTCAAATGTGAAAAAAGTAATCATCTAAACATGTTGCATTTTATTAATAAATGTGACAAATGTGGAAACAACATTAAATGAAAAAAAAATTAACTACAAATTCAGAGAAGGAAAACAAACATGTATTTCTATAATAATAATAATAATAACAACAAGGATAATGACTTGGTGGCAGCCTATTTTTACTTTCCAGTACTTATACCTGCGTGTGTGTTTCAGGGTCTGAAGAAGCTAACACGTCTGTATTTGGATGGAAACCTTTTAGACGTTGTGCCATCTGACCTTCCCCCAACCCTGCAGGAGCTGAAGATCAATGAAAACAGACTGAGAGGGATAGATGAAAACAGCTTCCAGGGTACTGCTATCACATCCTTTAATGACATCCAGCTCGTGTTTCTCTGTCCAAGAAGTCAAAGTACCACAGACATTGATTTGGCACTATCTAAATAAAACTGAATGGAATTGATATGAAATCTCCTTATCATTTGACCTCATCAATTACATGGCCTGTAGGACTTCCAGAATCAACAGGCATCCCTGAGCACTTATTTGGGCAGCTATAAATATAAATATGATCTTAATTTACATTAATTTTATTCATCAAATAAGCATAAAGCTGCATGTATGGAATTAGTCAAATCTGATGAAAAACACAAAAGTTTGCCCTAAAATAAAGTTTTATGAGACTTTATTAGAGTTATATTTCTAGCAGAATCTTTGCTGCGGCAGGATTCTTCCATAGATTCCCATTCAATATTCCCATGTCTGTCTCCTATATTGTGTCTGGTTACAAACAACCGTTCATTGTTTTAAAATTCAAAATATAAATTGGTTACTTCATGGATTGCACAGCTCACAGACCAAAAGAAAGTTAGATCCTATGTATGGTTATTCACTTCTAAACACACTATTCATCACAAGTTTATCTTTTTTTTTTTTATCTTTAAGATTTGAGCAGCCTGGTTATTCTGGAGCTGGAAGGAAATCTGCTGAGTGAGGGGAATGTAGACCCTCTGGCCTTCGCTCCCCTAATCCAGCTTTCCTACCTCAGACTGGGGAGAAACCATTTCCGTACTGTACCACAAGGCCTTCCCAAGTCATTGCTGGTATGAAACAATATATGTTTCCTTGACTCTCTGACTATCTCTCATTCCTCACACTGGGATACATCCTTGGCCACATTTTTGACTTATTTAAAAGACCCCCGGGTCTCATATTTGAGATGAAATAGGCTTACATAAGTTCCAAACATTGGGATCTATAAAAACAAACTTGGCAGCCAAATGCTCGCAGCTATATTGAAACTCTAACCTATGTGAATGATATTTGGAGACAGAAGAAAACTGGAAATGCAAACTGCAGAGAGGTGAATTATATGTGATGCCTCTCAACTTATACACAATATTGCCAAAAATATTCAATCACCCATCCAATCTTTAATATATTGATACGTTTGTTCATAGAATTTGTGAGGTGATAGACCTTAATGTTCACATGTAATTCTATAATTTGTGCACACTGTTAAACTAAAATATGGAAGCTTTAATCAGCTCATAAGCCTTTTTGAACTGCAGCTGGCAAAGAAAATAAATATACACAGCTTTCAATAAACCAACCTATTACATAGTTGATCAATTTTTCTTTCACATTGTCAGAGTAGCTGAATTTACTTTTTGCTGAAGTAGCAAAATTTTCTTTTTGGGTCTGATGTTTAATTTCTGCTTCTACCTGTGGGAAACCATTTCACCCGAGCAATTATGGCCTTTGGCTAACCACAAACAATGCAGAACACCAGCGGCACAATGCTGCTGTAAACCTACTTCATTTTATGACACTGGAAAGGTTTTACTTACTCTCTCTGCAAATCCAAACCCTCTGATTGTTGTTCATCCAGAACCAGAGTACAGTCTATCATTAACATGTTTCTCTGCTAAATATTCAGGGTTCCAAGTTTTGTGAGAGACTTTGGCTTTTGAATAGTGAAGAGTTGATGATTATAATTAAAGGTTATGCGTGGTGGTCACACTCCTGCCTGCCTTCTCATTTTACTAATTAGGCTGAAAAAACACAAACACAGCTTTGGCATGAATTATGCATTTACAGCCTTAAACAAAGTCAGGAAGAACAACAAACCCATCTGCCAAGCTCTCTGAACAAAAACCATCCAGGAAACATATTTACACTAATTGCATGTGAAATTAGGAACTCACGGCAACATTGGATCCCACTTCCTCATAAATAGTTTCTATTATGACGCTCATGTTGCCAAATATTTTGTTTTATGTTTTTCCATCTTTTAGGAACTCTATTTGGAGAACAACCTGATTGAAGAAATCTCAGAGACCGTTTTCAATCAGACCAGCAATCTGAACATAGTCTCTTTAAGACACAACAAACTGGAGGAGACCAGGATTGCTCCACTGGCATGGATCAACCACAGGTCTGACAGAAAGAGAGGCTTTTACCCCCACAGTAGTGTTACTTTAGCTGTAATTTTCATGGTCTCTTACTGTTAGTAATTGTTTTCATACTGTTACCTTCTCTGCAGAAATTTGGAGTCCATTGACCTTTCATATAATAAGCTTTACATGGTTCCTTCATATCTACCAAGATCTCTAGTTCACTTGGTGCTCTTGGGAAACAATATTGAGAGGATACCTGGTAGGTGTGACTGGTTAAAGGATTATCTGGCTAATAAATGTTACCTTCTTAAAGTTAGCGGACTGACACAAAACCTTCCTATTCAATGTTTTATTTTTTAAACAATAATAACTTTAAATGGATTAGGCTGATGATTGATCTAAGTTTTTTTAGAAAATTAACTTCTATAATACATAAGTGGTAAGTGCTAGCTTACTTAGGTCAGTTTTGTCCAACACTGAGAAAGCAATGCACAAGCAACATCAGAGGTTTGGGTTTTGTTATGCTCTTTCTGATGTATGGGTACTGGAAGCGGTCAAAATGTATTTATTTTGATCTTTTTATTACCCATCGCTTATTACCCATAAACAAATAAAACAATAAATAAATACATAAATAAATAAATAACATGATCAAAGTTAACAGACTACTTTAGAATGACTTAATGATTTGCTGTGTAGTTTAAGGTGAGCTGCAGTTAACACTTATTAAGACTTGTACAGGTAGAGTTAAATTATTGTACAAGGTAAATTATTTTCTTTAAATACCTCCACAGGTTACGTTTTTGCCCACATGCAACCTGGTTTAGAGTACCTCTACCTCTCCTACAACAAACTGGATGGAGAAGGGACTGAACCAGAGTCGTTCTTTGGGGCCTACCACTCCCTGGTCGAACTGTGTTTGGACCACAACCAGCTGGTTGTTGTGCCATCTGGCATCAACGAAATGACCAACTTACACTTCCTCAGACTCGACAATAACATGATCAGGTACGAAAGCACTATTCATAAATACACATGCATTAATTCTGAATGTTCTAATGTGCAAACTTTTTAAACAGCTACTTCCTTGAAACACATGAGACTATCTTACTCGTAATTTGTTTATGTTGAGAACATTTTTTGGCACTGGGCGTACTGTTACAGGCAGAATTGTACTGTTATATGTCTGCACTAGCTAATTATAAAATGGGAGCATAAATGAGGCTTATAGAAGACACCTCTTAACAGCTCTCTATATTTGAAACTCTCCAGTCCATTACGGATCAGTTATAAAATAAGAAGAATTTCAAAAATGTAATATCACTTTGCTAATTTTTACATGTTATTTGTTTATGGGTTTTTTCCCCAAATCAAATGCTTTGCACAAACTTCCAAGACAGTACAGAAAAATTATTACTACCGGTATTGACTTGATTGGTACAATGGCGTAACTAATAATTAAAATTAAGACTGATGGTGTAATAATGATTTGCATGATTTGCTCCGACTTTAATATGATGACCAGAAATGATTACTGATTTATTTAGTTACAGAAAAAAATAAGATAGTGATTGATGATCTCAAAAAACTAATTTAAGTAAGAAAAGGAGTCAGGAAAAAACATAGGTGATTAAACACAGAACCACAAAGTCATTTAAGACCAACAACAAAGCTCCTATGACAGACATGAGTCGGACCAGATGACTGACTCATTCAACACAGACTGCCAAACAATATTATACTGAAAGTTCACTGGATGGAGAGTTGTCTTGACGACAAGAAACAAAACAAGTTGATTCATAGTTCCACCTAGGAGTCGCACTGAATCACCTCATTATGCACTCACAGGTTTCTTGCGCTGTGCACACAGTCCAGGTCGTGGCAGTGTGTTTTATTTGAAATGAACAATTTAAACACTGCACTTTGGTCTGTCTTTATTGGCAAGAAGGCTAACACTGCAGGTGGGAAATGACAATCAGACTTGAAGGAAATATTGCTAACCATTCTAACATATGTGGTGCAATAAATACACACAAAAAAAACCCCCTAAAAATGAATAAATATGCACAAAAGTTTAAAACCTTGAAAATGGACTAGAAATGTATATGTTAAATTTCTTCTTAGAAAATGCTAAGTGAGTATTTTCTTCTTTTGGAACATGTTTAACTACACAAAGAAAACAAAAGACGATTTCCAGTAAATGCAACATGAAGTGAAAAGTAATTAGTAGTGTTGGTCTTATATACTCATTATATTAACTAAATATTAATGTCTGTGTATTAATAGTTTTGGTGATTAATGAACTCTGTAACCGTGTATCTTCTGCATATCAGTGAATTGTACATTAAAGCGACATGTTTCCCAGAGGGAGCATATATGCAAAAATATACTTGGGCACAGATCAGTACTCCATAATCTGCCAGTTAACACATAATGGAAAAAAGTTTGTTTCAGCTATAGGGAATAAACATGAATCTATATTCTCATGCTATGTCTTCAAGGAGTATTCCTGATGAAGCCATCTGTGACCCAAACCGCAGCGGGGACTCCACCTTGGTGGCTGTAAGATTGGAAAACAACTACATCGACCCACAAAAAATCTCACCAATGGCCTTTTCATGTGTAAGATCTGCATCAAGTGTGGTCTTAAAACCCCAGAAAACCAAGTGAACACACATAAACAAAATAAAAAACTGAGAGACAGTGGACTTTAATCTGCCAAAAGAAGTCAAAATCTCCTTTCATCATTTTTTTCTGTTACTAATATCATACAAATAATATAATACAAATAAACCTAAAAAATTACTAGAAAACGCATTAGTCTGATGTCAAAATCTGACACACATTCAAACATGGTTACTGTTGTATGGTAAGATGCTATTTGAACATTTTCTACAACTTTAGACCAAACACATGGTTTGGTATCTGGTAAGCTGTCCTGCTCTGTCACTTGGCCTTAAACTGGTGTGAAAGTGACAGAACACATCTGTCCACTCTCAGAAAATCTTCTTCTACTTTTGGCTGGTCCCTCTAGAGGGTCGCCGCTGTGGATCACTGTGTAAAAGGGAAGGAATTCACAGTAAAATGAAAATCCTAATAAAGAAATGGAAAGAATTCTATGAAGTGCGACTGCAAGCACAGCGCATTATTTTTAACAACCTCAGCACCTTCATGTTTCATTTCTCAGCAGCAATTCTTCCACTGCCTGTTTTCATAAAAACCCTGACATGGAAAGCTCACACGTGACACATCCCCTAAGATGATTGTGTTAAAACCAAGTGCTGCTGGAGCCAATTCCTCAAACAGATCGAGATGAGATGTAATGACATGCCTGTTCCTCAACATTTTATCTTTATCTTGCTTACGTGAATGGACAGGGCAGTGACCTCCTCAATTGTAGTTAAGTCTGATTTATGTTTGATGCAAAAATTAAGTGGGAGTCTTGCTATTGCATGTGTTATGATTTACAATTCAGCATCATCAAGATGAATGCATCATATGTGATATTGAGCTTTTGTTATGGTATATCCTGCACAGCAACTGTTTCACTTCACTTTGTGGTTAAAAGAATTCACAATGAATTCACAATTCATTACAAAGTTATGACTGCATCTGTATCTGGGTTAACTTCTATTTCTTCTTATCCTGCTTTATATAGTATGTGTCTTAACATGGGTTTATTTAATCCCAGGTGGGAGCAGAGTATGCTAAAGAACTTATGGAGATTATGGCCAAACATTTCTGACTTTAATGCTGCTGCATGAAAATATCTTATTTTTCTTACTGTAAATTTGTACTTCTGTGTTTTCTTTTAACTGAATCTTCTTCTTTCCCAGACAGAAACACACAAGACTTTTAGATAATTTAAACTCTTTTACTGTGCATCAGCTTTCAAGCTGTGCAAATTGTAATATAATGTATTACCACTGTGTACATGAAAGGCTCGTTCTACCCTAACGTTGCTTTGAAAAGCTCTCACTAGAGGTCCAAAACACTCCACAATTTACTATAGATTTTTAATTTTTTTCCCCACAAATTTAAGATATATTTGAAGATTATATCCTTTCATTTGCTCTTGGCTGGCCAACATGCTTAAATTATATGAAGTTGGTGAGTCAACTTTATATTTTACAGTTTAGCACAATGTTATGATGCACGGAAAAAATAAACTTTAAGTTACCATTCCTGTCTGAGTGAAGTCTGCCTAAACCTAGTACCCTCACACACCCAAATAAGTTAGATTATATTGCACTGGATCCCCTGATCATTTACACAGCCTGCCTGTCCAGGACATTTAGGAGTATATTCATGTTATCAAATTAACAGCTTGGGCTTCAGGGAAAAAGTGGAGCCATGATGACTTTTACAGAATAAGAAAAAAAAATGTAGTTAACCTTCCATTACATGTCTTTTAGCTATATGTAATACATATTTACTGAAAGCTGCAATTAACAGAGCTGAAAAGCCAACCAATTCATAATATTTTCCTCTACAAGCCTGAGGTTTAGGATCATTTACTTCAGTCACAGACATCGAAAGGATGATTGAAACAGAAAAAAACCTAAACTGTGAGGAGCATAAAACCTCAGCTTCTTTAATGGTAAAAAACCTGAAAATATTAGATAATTATATGGGGACTAAAATTAATTTGAATGAATAAAAGCAATAAAACAAAGAATCACAAATGTGTGGTCAGTTTTCTAGATGCCGGCAGTTGTCATCTGACTGAACCTGGAGCTGGAAAACTTTCCTCCCTTGAACTAAAGCTGAGATGAAAGTTTTTCCTGAGGGAGTTCTCCTCTGCCAGCATGAACAGCTGCTCTGTTCATCAGTCTTGCATATCAAACACGTGAGTGAACAATCATATACTCATTAGTCATGTGACCTCATCCATGCTCCTCAGGATGAGGAGATGTAACTGAAAAAGTAAACTGTAAAGTCATTCCCATGTACTCAGACATTTTATCAGGCACAAAAGATCAGTACGGAGGTGGAACTCAATTCATCTGATTTCTGTGATATAAAAATGGAAAAAAATGAAATTAAAAGGAAAATGAAGCAATGTTTTTGTTTTTTTGTGAATAACAGTGTATCCCCAACTTTGCAACCTTGTATTTGTGAGACACATGAAACTGTGACTATGATGCTTTTGTTCACTGGTCAAAACTGAGATACCTACACTCAGCAGCCAATTTGTTAGGCACACCATTCAACTGCTCATTAACGCAAACATGTAATCAGCCAGTCACATGGTACAAATGTATGGAACCAGGCATAAGGACATGGTAACGAAGACCTGCTGGAGTTCAAACTGAGCATCACAATGGTGAAGAAAGGTGATGTAAGTGAGTCTGACTGAGGCATGGTTGTTGGTGCCACACAGGCTGATCAGAGTGTTTATGAAACTGCTGATCTGCTGGAATTTTTCTATACAGCCATCTTTAGGTTTTACAGAGAATGGTCATAAAAAGTGAAAATATCCAGTGTGCATCAATTCTCTGAGTGAAAGTTATGCCAGATTCTTTAATGTTGATCCCAGAATTCAGAGGAGAATAACCATTGAGCTGATAGGAAGGTAACAGTAACACAAATGACTACTTTTTACAACAAGTATACGTAGAACATACTGGTTCGATGGAAAAGGTTTGATGGAAAAGACCACACTGTTCGAGATAAGTCTGTGTCTTGCATGCAAACTATAGCAGCAAAATGTTGGTAAAGTACAGGATAAATATTCCAACACAGTGCAAAAACAAAAATTACTTAGTTTTAAGGGGTCATAAGCTAAAACTGCTGGTGACCACTAGGGCTGCCACAAACGATTATTTTGATAGTCAACTAGTCACCAATTATTTTTGCGATTAGTCGACTAATCAGACCATGCATCCATTGGACGTAAAACATACAGCTTATTGCACCAGCATTCATCTGCACTATCATTAGCTTACAGCTTTAAGTGTCTAAGGTATAACAATAAGATTTTTAAGTTATCTAAGTGACTTATATATCATGTTTGAAAATGTTTGTTTGAAAATATGTGGTGTCTTGATAAACTGAGCAGATATTTGAGGTTTACACAGCTACATTCTCGCCTGAAAATATGTTAAACGTTTATTTTGTGACCCAGAAAGAATAATAAGAGTAAAACTAACTAGCATTGTTGGAAACGATGGGCTGCGCTATGAATTCTGGGACACAGCTTCTTCTTCTTCGGGGTTTAACGGCAGCTAGCATCCTTCTACATGCAGTGCTGCCATCTTCTGTTTCAGTCCGTTATTACACTCTTAAATCCTACTACTTATTCCTGCGTCTTTTGGGATCTTACAAAGCTTCAAACGACGCATCGACTATTAAATTAGTCGTTGACGATTTTGATAGTTGATGTAATCGTGACTAATCGACTAATCGTAGCAGCCCTAGTGACCACTGACACAGATTTAGAAGTAAAACAATGTGAGAATACCTAAAATATATTGTTAAATCACTAAATTCAGTTAGAATAGCAGTTAAATGTACTTACTGACCAACAGTTACTTGTGAGCAAAAGTTAGTTTTATGAATAAGAATATATGTCACATTAAAACAAACAAACAAAAAACAAAAGTAGAAAAACAAACAATCAAAACACCAATAATCAATATTAGTGTCGGGTGGAACTGTGGTGAGGTGAGATCATGGTGGAGTGTGGGGCTAGTGAACACTGCTCTGTTGTATAGCCTGGCTGGGTAACAGTGCCAGAAACAGGTAACACACTGAGTTGCAGGGTCACAGTTCTTTTAAAAATGTTTCCTGGCTTCAAAACGTTCCTGTGGCACTAAAGCAACAACAGCACTGAGGCAACTCTTTGGCTAGATGCCCTGGAAGTTGCCCCCGTGACTTACGGCATTAAAAGAAATTACCAGATGGAGGAAATTCTCCTTAACACAAAAACACAACAAGTTCCAGCCGTTCCAGCGCCGTCATAGACGTCTGATGGGTTGGAAAGTATGAGATCCTTAGAGAGAAGAGACATCCTGACCGCCTTCCATCAGTCAGGCAGACCATCTCACATCAGGAAATAATCTCTAACATTTAATTTGCAGTTTGAAGACAATAAATCCAACAATTACGCCATAGAATATTTTCACTACCACAAACCAGTTTCCCCTCTTTGGATTATTACAGCTACTGAATTAAATCTTTCTGTGGCAGACCAGTTAGCTGAGAGGTATGAGGTTTCGAAGGGCTCGTGTGCATGAAAACAGAAAACGACAGCATGACGGATACCTGGCTCAGACAAAGAAGCTCAATAATTTGAAGTTTGCCTTTGCTTCTGGGTAGGCAGAAAGACAAAAGGACCACCCATCATCCAGATCAACATGACGCAACAGGATATACCGTGGGGCTAGTGGTCCTTACAGTGCAGACAAATACCTTTAATGTCTTAGTCCTCACACAGGGCACAAAAAAGAGAAAACTCTCATGTAGGGTTACATCATGGTCTAATCAGATCCCTCCAGTGTTTGGGAAAATGGCATCTTTTAAACTGACAATCTGGCTCCCAAGAGGCTATTGTTTCAGCACACAGCCATGAAGCTGTGATTATGGGGAGCTGGAAACTGAGTCTGAGGTTTTAACCAAGAAGGTGGACGTGTTTAAGCTACTGGTATCTAATACGTGAAGTGGACATAGTTCTGTGAGACTTCTTAAATGCATCCAACTAGCCTCAAGTAGATTATTTAACACGCTTTTAAAAAGACAAATTACATAAATATATGTAGCCAGTTATGAAAAATACCACAAAAATGTAAATGTAAATGTAATGTAAAATTAGCTATATATTTGTGAAAGTTTAAAAAGTAAAAGTTAAACTTTGAGACATGTTCTAACCATACATCAGAGAGGCATACATCAACAGGGCATGTTGATTTTCCAGCTTCTGGGAACAAGAGATGTTTTCCCTTTTTTAGCCTGGAGGTAAAATCAGATTTTTGCTGTGTTTCCCACAAGTTGTTCATGACTTTATTTATTGCTGTCCCAAGTCAAAAGCTAGTGGTAGGAATAACAAGTGATAAAACTGAGAGCTTACGTTTAGGAATTTCCTTCAAAGAGTCTGTTGCACATGAAAGAAGTCAGAAGGCTCCTTGTTGATGTGATGATTATTTAACCAGATCTGTGATGGTTTGGAAAATTTGATTTCCCCACCAAGACGATTCACTAAAACCAAAACAGACCCGATCCCATTTCGGGTCTTCTGACTGCCAAACCAGGGCATATTTGGATGGTCTGGCTCAGCCATAAGTTGTGCAATTCCAGCTCAGCTCAGCAGAAAATACCAGAAGTAAATGGAAAAAGGAATTGTATAACACTTGAACCCCTGAGGGAACAAGCTGTTAGCTTTTCCATTCTTGGGAGGTACTTCTCATTCCTGCTTCAAATGTAAAGCTGAAAGATTTCCTACTGTGTCTTGTTAAGACAACATCACGCAGAGCACAATATATAGTAAACTTTAATTTGATGTTGCAAAGCATCACCTCCAATTATCTTTTGTCTCTGCTTTCCAAATCCACAAACAGGACATTTATAACACCAAGCTGCCAGTTCTGACTGACTGTAATGGTATGTTGTATCACCTTAAGAGTGTATCACTTCATTGCCAAAGAGTAATACACCTTAACAAGTTGTTTAGAATTGTGGACATCTGCCTGTGGGCTGATATAATGGAAATTGTTCTCAGTTCTTTTTTTCCATAAAGTTTTGGCTCTAGAAAGAAGACAGAAAAGGTCTAGACATATCATAAGGTTTGTTATGTAACTGTTCCTTACACCTTTATTCAGACATGACAGCAGCTTTGCAAAAATGCAAAGCACAACAGTTATGTTTCTACTTATCTCTACAGTTTAAATACAAGTAAATCTGCCAAATAAATGTACTTTTGTGCACAAAAATGAAAACTGAGTGCCAAACATTTCTTTTGTTTGCTTAAAAATAAAATACTTCAGCCACTTTGATAATATGATATATTCTTCCAAAGTGTATAAATGCATTTCCACTTCCTATGGGTAAACTATATTCAGAGACTGTTGCTGTGTTCTTATATCATGTTTACCTCAAATTTTCTGATCGCTAGTCTTCAGTAATATTGATCTAAATGAACTGTCTACCAGTCCTTCACCATCACCCTAAAATCTCTGAGAGGGCAGGCTCAACTCCACCCTGTTGTTTCAATTAGACAAACGAAACCGCTACAGCAGCTGTACAGTTGTACTATCCTTTATTAACCCAGTGCCAACGTGCCTCAGAGAAGAAACCATTCACACTGATGTAAAACAGTTAATGTGGCTGAGAAGGGAGGGGAGGTGACAGACCTACCAGTATGTTCTATATATAAAGACTTGAGCATACAGGAGTCTGAATCTAACTATTCTGGCATTACTTCAAAGCTCCTGATGAAAAGCACATGACTAAACTCTTAACAATGCCTTTTCAAACTTAGTCCCACAGGCCTACAGATGGTGTGATCACTCAGAGAATCAAGAGCTCTTTACTAAAACCGAACCTCTCACCCTTACCAGTGGAAATTTTCCGTTGGTGGGGGTGTTCAGGGGACCACTTTCCCCCCCCCCCCTTTTTTTTTTTCCCGGAGAGGAAGGGTGATGCTGTTCTTCGTTCACTGGGAATGTATTG